GTGTCTTTGTGTGGAGAAATATGCTTTCAATATTGAAATGGTTTGTGATAGCTTTAAAATATATTTGTATTTTTAATTATAAAATTTTAAAAAATTACATAAATATTTGTTATATTTTTTGTTATTATAAAATACCCAAATTTTCTATTATTAGATAGTTGTCCATTTTTTCAACTTCATAACATTTTTTTAAAAAAACTAGACTACCCATTTTCGGTTTTTGAAAAACCAAAAAATTTCAATTTCAATTTCAATTTTTAAAAACCGAATTTATATGTTTTTGATTTTTAAATCACTCTACTTCTCACCCATGCTTTACTCTCTCATTTTTTTTATTCTTATTGTTGAGCCAAATCTATTTTTGAGCGACAAAAGCTATTAAGTTTTGAAAAAGGTTCGATTTTTCAAAAAGCGTGGGTGATCATAATAGACAAGCAAGCAGAAAATTGGTCCAGACTCCATAATCTGAATAGAGAACAAAAGCAGCCATTATAGGGTGTTTTTACCATTTCATTATCCAGTAACGCAATCATCCAATGTGAATTAGAAGAGAAGAGAGGAGAGAAAGTAGCTTTATTCCCAAAAATTAAAAGAACAAAAAATTGGAATGAGCAAATTGATACGACATACCAATTTAATTGAAATGGTACAATGTTGAATTGATACGACATACCAGTTTAGTTAAGATGGTACAATGTTCACCATAAGATGGAGGGTAAATAGTCTCAACAATCATTGTAGCCATGCCCTCATTGTAGCCCAGTCAATATGCTGCAAGCCATGCTCTCAACCAATGGTTTAAAAAGCGGAGCGGTGACCTGGATCAGGCACCTCAAAAATCGATCCGAATAGGCGAATAGGCATTTCGGATCGAGAATCAGGTGAATCGGTCAGAATAAAGCTTCAAAAAAATCCGAAAAAATTATTAAAATTCATTATAAATATTTTTTTTAGGAATTCAATAAGAAATGAGAGTACTACATTAAGAATTTTCATTTCTTTGCATGAATATGCTAATATTGATATGTTCTTTCCCTGCATGAACTACTATTTATCATTTAATTTATATAACACAAAAGGATAAACATAGAATTATCATGGAATAAGTATATCAACATACATGGACTACGATAAAGCATACAATTAGTAACATACGATCTAAAAATAAAATGACAGACGACGTCGTTCTTCTTCTTGGTCACGCTGGTGCCATTGATTGAATTCGTTTGACAATTCATTGATTCGATCTAAAAACGAATCATCGATATTAGCAGGCGTCTTACTATACCCAAATCCCTGAGTGTTAGTGTTCTGTTGTGTTCCCAATCCAAAATCCCCGAAGCTTGTCCATCCTTCATGCTTACCTACACTGTCGTGCTGATCATTACACTGTTGCTGTTGGGACTCGATATGTGAATAATATGGCTGGGATAGGGTGGCCTCAGAATCATCATCTCTCTCATTTTCCCTTAGATCCCCTTCCCACTCACCCTCATTAAGTGTAATATCACCGACATCTCCTATGAATTGTGGATACGTTGGCTGACTGCTTCCTCTTTTATGTTGCTCATCACCTTCTTCAAGATCTTTCTCACTGATAGCCTCAAGGAACGCTCTCTTGTGCAACACTAGCTCCTCCTCTTCTACTACCCATTGGTCTGCTGTGTTTGTGACAAATATTGTGTCTAAGTCTATCAGCCCATAGTCTTAAAGCTTCTTTTTTATTTGTCGCTCTCGAAGGTTTAAGTTATAATGAAAGTAGACTAGTTTATGAAGCTTCTCCGAAGTGAGTCGATTTCTCCTAGTAGTGTGCAACCATTGGAACGTACTCCAGTTGTGCTCACAACCAGTAGTAGAATATGTCTGGGAGAGGACCTTGATTGCTATCCTCTTTAGGTGAGGTGCATCAGTACCATATATCTCCCACCATTCAGGTGGATTAAAGTGCAAAAAGCATGGTAAGGGTAAGAATAATTCATAATATTAAATATATGAATGAACAAAATATTAGCGAGGGGATAACCTGGATCCATCTTAGTTCGAGAATTCCTGGCAAGTCTAGTTCCGAAGGATCCTATAGCATCCCTATACATAGCAAGCTAAAACAAATTTATTTCGTTTTAGTGCATTATTCCTCACAAATATAACAACTCAATGAAGTTCTTACCCAAACATTAAATAATACCTCTTGTATTGCTGCTACTTGGTTTCAATGGCTTCTCTCCAACCTTGCAATAATGTATCTGACCCCTTCTATAATCTTGTAGGGGTGTTCAGGTGTAAAATAGAAAAAATTTGGGTTGAAGTAGTAACCTAGAAAATATATAGATAGAAAAATGTCATTTACAATTTCATAAAAAAATGATTTAAAATGAAACATTCTAATGATATATTTACCAGCATAATGAATTGGACGTCCAAATTTAGTGTTCCACCTCGTTTCTATAATCTCGATCACTTTGTTAGCAAAACTATACTTCTCCCCAATAGCTGATTTCGCCATCTCGATACCTTCATAAAAGATGCCCATTGTAGCTTTCTTGTCAGCATCCACCATTCTTAACACCGTGACCAAAGGGGCAGTGGCCTCTATAACATTGGAACATCGAGACCAGAACCTCCTATTTGAAACTATACCATCCATTTTTATACCGGTACTGGCCTTCAAGAGGCGATCATTTAATCACTCTTCACAGGAAAACAATCTCTTTAATGCACTTTCAGATTCCCGAATGGAGTCCACAGCTCAGTAATCGGTAGCAAAGCGGGTTATGGCAGGTCCGATTATCTCTTTTTTCTTAGAGTGTTTTCTAAACAGAAATAAAATTTTAGAGTAGTTGTATATAAATCTCGACACCAA